TGTCTCCTAAGTGCCAGGCATGGTCTCTGCTCTCATAAAACTTACAGTCTTTTGGTTGAAGTAAATTGGCTTGCTTTTTATTTTTGGTTTGTTTAGAGAGTCTATGAAATAGATTAATTTGTTATGGGTGTGAAAACAAATTCCTTAAGGAAAAAACAATCTCTCCAAGTTTTGCTGTATTTTGGTCATATACCTGCACATCCCTACCCCTAGTGACAGTGCTGGAAATGGTGAGGCAGGTTGATGCGTGTTTAGTAAGGGGAGAAACATCTAGGTTACCTTGACACGGATTCTGAGCCGTATGTAAGAGCAGTGTCTTTGCGCTCCTCCATCAGAATCACCTGGAAATCTAGTTGGAAATGCAGATTCCGAGGACCTAAGTCAGACAAGAGGAATCAGAATCACTAGGATATAGCCAAGAATCAGTACCTTAACAAGCTCCCCCAGTGATTTTTTTGCTCAGTGACATCTGAGAACTGTGGCCTAGACTCTGTGCTGTCATGAGAATAGGTGTGAGCATTTGGATCTAGGGCTGAAAATAGTGGTGATTAGTACATGGCTGTATCTTTAATTCTAGGAGTAAGATGAACTATTAACATCAAGTTTAGAGCACCAACTCTTCACATTGCCCAACCTGAACTCCCATTTCACCATGTATTAGCTGTGTGACATTGAGGAAATGACCTAACCTCTCTGAATCCCAGTTTCCTCATCTGGAAAATGGAGATAGTATATATTTCATAGAGTATATGTTGGGATTCATGTAAAGGGTTTAGCACAGAGTCTGGCATATAATCAGTGTTCATTGTTATAGCTAAAAGAATCCCAATTCTTGTGATCCTGAGGAGAAAATTCTTGATCTCAAGTTTAGCGATCTCTCCAGCAAAAGATGATGTCTTCTGTTTCAAACAGCATTATTTCCCCCCTCATTCTTCCTTGGAAGGCTGAGACCAGAAAACTGGTTACATTTCCTGGATCCCTTTCTCCTTGGCCTTCATGCACATGCATTTCATATACCGTACACACACATGTGCATACACACACACACACACCACTCTCCATCACACACATGTGCACACATGCTCTCACAGACATACACCTCTCTGCAATTCCCAAGATGGCTTTCTCCTCCAGGACCTAGCATCTGTTTGGCTTTCTTTGTTCGGGAAGAGCTTCTTGTCAGCAGTCGTCCTAAGATCTGCCCTGAACAGTGGCCTGTCGGCTTGTAGACCATCTAGGCTCAATGATAACGAGGGTAGGGTTGAAGGGCTGGGGGGCAGGAACAAGAGGTGGAGAGTGTAGAGCAAGCAGCAGGGTCAGGAGCATTACCTTGGAGTGGCGAGAGGCAGGAGCACGCCCACCTTCCTCCCGGTGGCCCATGGTGCCGGGTTTGGGGGCAGAAGTGCAGTCGGGGCACCTTCCTGGTGGTGTCCTTGCCCGCTGGGCGCTGAAGGAGCGCCGAGTAATCAGAGCCAGGCCTGAGAGTCCTCTCTGGGCCCTTCCAATCACAGTGTTGTGATTAGTCACACTTCCTGCTTAGAAAACAGGCAGATATTAAAAAGGGAAATCCTACTGTGAGGTTTGGATAGGATTTCAAATGATCTTTTCTGCAAATAAAATTGTGGGCAGGAGGAGGAAGAGGAGGAAGGAAAGCGATCCAGAACTTGCCCTCAGGCTAGGATTGTTGAGCCTCAGAGGAAGGGGTGCCCAGAGATCCTGGCACCTCTGGTTCCTATGTTTTCATGAAGTGTTGGACTTTCCTGTCCCAGTGACTTTGACCAGCTTCCCGATGTGGTGGGCTGTTGAGATGTGGAGGAGGACCTGGAGTGGTTTTACGTGGATGAAGGCTTTCTTGAGCAGGTTTGGTGCTGTCCGTCAACATCTGTTAAGTAGATCACTGGGCAAGTTACTTAATCTTCCTAGCCTCAGTTTTCTTATCTGCAAATTGGGCTAATTATAGCCTTAAGTTGATAAGATTATTGTGAGTATTTTGGGAAAAGATGCTTATAGAGCACTTCAAGTAGGACCTGACACATAGTGAGCCTTCAGGAAATGGAAGCTACTATTCTCATGAGAAATTCATCCATACTGTAGGTCAAAGTGTTTGGGGTCAGGCTTGCCAAGGTATGGTGAAAGTTTACAGCTTTATATTACATTCTGAGGTTTACATGAGTGATTTCTTTACATAATCAAAATTTTCTGGAAATACAAATGAATGTTTTGAAATTACCTGAGCGGTAAGCTTGTAAAGCTCCAGGTGTTGTGGTGTTAATGACGGGCCTGTTGAAATAAAGCAGGTTTGCATTCAACGTGAAGCCTCTAAAGAATGTCCTTTGCTTTGAACTTCAAACTTTACAAAGGAACAAATAAAGTTTTGCGTTGGAGCAAAAGTTCCTCAATTCTTACGTCACCAGCAGCAAGGGTTAAGGAAAACGTGCACCTTTGGATAGCTTTTGAAAGGAGACTAGCTTCTGTATATTTCTTGCTATAGGACTTTGGGAAAATAGATTCCGTCCTTATGGAGATGGTGAACCAAGAATATTTTTAAAAATGTAATGTTTTGTTCATTCAGAAGTAAAGTGACGACTGTTAGTTGAAAAGTATATTTTTTTTGTTTTTAAAGAAGCAAATTAAAATTGCAAGGAAACAATGGAATGATCAGCTTGCAAAAGTTATTTGCTTTGATTAAAAGCACCAATAAATGTGTCTTGGTTTGGGCGCCTGGGTGGCTCAGTTGGTTAAGCAACTGCCTTCGGCTCAGGTCATGATCCCAGGGTGCTGGGATTGAATCCCACATCGAGCTCCCGGCTCAGCAGGAAGCCTGCTTCTCCCTCTCCCACTCCCCCTGCTTGTGTTCCTGCTCTCGCTGTCTCTGTCTCTGTCAAATAAATAAATAAAATCTTTTAAAAAAAAAATGTGTCTTGGTTCTATAACTGCTTCATTTAGCACTTGACATATAATAGATTTTTTTCACAGCATAATATCTCCATTGAAATATAATTATTTTGCAGATTGCTCAACTGAATACTCTTATAAACATGCTGTTGGGGAACTCACCCTGGGTGATCATCAGGAGATCATGACAATGTGCACAGTTGATGGATATGTGAGGGATGTGGCAGCCGAGCTTGGAGCAGAGAAGGTGGTTTGTTGCAGAGCAATTACCCTAATGCATTTTTAAAAGCATAAAATAAAGAATCATTTCATTTGCTGAAAAGTTATTTTAGGTGCTTTGGTAAAGCAGTGACAGAATATTTTGATTGTCAGGGTTTTTTTTTTTCCTTTAAAGTTAGATAATTACATTTACCAGTTAAAGAATTGCCATTTAAAAATAATATTTTGTCTAAATGTTTAAAGATGTCTATTAAAAATGTATACTGAACATGACAGCGGCCTTTTCATGCTGTAATTCTAGTCAGTGGTCTGAAAACAATTAGGATGAAAAAATGTACATTTATTCAGTGCTAGTTGGAGAGTCAAGATCTGTAGAGTATGGTGAGGGTTGCATTATGATTTTAAGATAGTTCTATTTTTTGCTCAGATAACACTTTTTTTTTTTTTAGAATAACAAAAAATATTTTACTAAAACATAAGATTTACAGAAGTTTCCAGACAAGCCATACAAAATGGTCACAAGCTTTTTCTTGAAGGAAGGATTCTACACTTGACAGCAAAGTCACAATGTTATTAGTGAGGGCTGTGATGTTTGTTTAATGTTCCCATTTTGGTTCAAACAATCAAGCTTGTCCATCTACAGCGTCTAAATAAAGTTAGACTTGGCTAGAGAGCATATTCTAGAGAACTGGTTAGCTGCTTTTAACCAATGCAATTAGATCACCATAAAAAGGGGGAAAGGAGCCCATAAAATTAAAATAAAACTACCTCTCCCCCTCAAAAAAAGTAATAAAGAAAAACACCCACACCCCTTCAGCTAACCCTGACAACTACCTTCATTCACAGTGCTTTATACTCAAACCATGGTGGGGGAAATGAATAAAAGCAGAGAAGGGCCACTGCTTTTAAACGTTTCACAACAATCCAGATGGTACTTCTAGCCTCTGCTCATGCTTTACAACAATGAATCAGGACAAGACATAGATCTGCTAATGTGCATTTAATCACCAAAGGACTGAAGATGTCTGGGCTTTTATTCTGTAATGTTTCTAAGACTGTGTCCATTAAATGCAAACAAAAAAGGAAGAAGTCTTGGCAGAACAGGAGAAGTGATGCACACTTGATGATCAGATCGATTTTATATATTATTCATGGCATATAGCCTAGTCCATGCTCTAGCTGTTTCTATGGCTTGGGCTTCGTTGGTCTTCCACTGCTCCGCTACATCATTTGCTAATGGATCATCTGGATTGGGAGCACTTAACAAAGCCTGGATCGATAGCAGAACTGTGCGGATCTGCAGTGCTGGGGACCACTTATCTTTCAAAATATCTAAACATATTCTTCCCAACTTGTCTACATTAGGATGATAAATTTTGGTCATGAAACGTACTTTAGGGGCTGCCATCGGGTATTCTTCTGGTAGGAATAGTTCAAGCTTAAAAGTCCCTCCCTCAAAGGGGGAATCCTGGGGGCCAGCAATGACCACATGAAAATAACGGGCGTTGCTCTCATCTGGTTCTGCTTTAATGCCAGGAACTGGTTCTGCCAGCAAACGCTGGGTTTCCTTGATAATCCTGCGGGGCAGCGCAGCCATCTTGTCAGATCCCGAGTTCGGCCTCTGGTCTCGACTCCGGCTCCGCTCGCCTCCTCAGATAACACTTCTAAGGCCTGTTCTGCAACTATGTGTGTATTTAGTTTCTTTAGGAATCTCTCCAGGGGGCAAAACCCCCAGTGGGCTGTGGTCTGGGGCGCCCCCTGTCTCATGCATAAGAATGGAGAGAAAATGGGAAAAAACTTTAATAAAACAGCCAAATGTTACCCCTTTAAGCCCTTCATTCAACTGACTGAATGACTGTTCATGACTCTAGAATAGCTATACTGGTTGTGACAACATTGAAATATTCGCTCACCTACTGGTAAAAAGTCCTCCCCAGAGCTCCCCCTCACAGGTCCCTCCCTGTGACCCTCTAGATGGCCCCACCATCCAGCAGCCAAAGGACCAATGACTGTCTTGACAGGAGGTTGCTAGGTTGTGCCCCAGCCAGGCCAGCATCTATTCTTTTTTTAAAAAAAAAAATATTTTTTTAATTTAAACTCAATTAATTAACATGTAACGTATTACTAGTTTCAGAGGTAGAGGTCAGTGATTCATCAGTCTTATTGTGTTCCCTCTCTTGCTGTCTCTCTCTGTCAAATAAATAAATTTTAAAAAACTAAAAAAAAAAAAAAGAGTCTAGTCTCTCATGGTTTGTCTCCCTCTCTGGTTTCATCTTGTTTTATTTTTCCTCTCTTCCCCTATGATCTTCTGTTTTGTTTCTTACATTCCACATATCAGTTAGATCATATGATAATTGTCTTTCTCTGATTGACTTATTCATTCAGCATAATACCCTCTAGTTCCATCCACATCATTGCAAATGGCAAGATTTCATTTTTTATGGCTGCATAATATTCCATTGTGTGTGTGGGTGTATATATATATATGTATATACACACCACGTCTTCTTTATCCATTCATCTGTTGATGGACATCTTGGCTCCTTCCGTAGTTTGGCTATTGTGGACATTGCTGCTATAAACATTGGGGTGCAGGTGCCCCTTCGGATCACTACATTTGTATCTTTAGGGTAAATACCCAGTAGTGCAATAGGCCAGCATCTGTTCTGATTTGTGGGTCTCTGGACCATGTTGTAGCACCCCAGTTTAGATTAATCTTTGACTTTTAGCCTAGGAACATTTAGAATATTGAAAAGTAGAGTGTGGAAGCTGGTGTGTGGAATGGGGCAGGAAACTGGTAGGAAAGTTTTCCCTGGTCCCCTTAATCTAAGTGATGAGAGTACATCCATTCTTTTTTTTTTTTTTTTTTTAAGATTGTACTGATTTATTTGACAGAGAGAGACACAGCGAGAGAGGGAACACAAGCAGGGGGAGTGGGAGAGGGAGAAGCAGGCTCCCCGCAGAGCAGGGAGCCTGATGCGGGGCTCGATCCCAGGACCCTGGGACCATGACCTGAGCCGAAGGCAGATGCTTAACGACTGAGCCACCCAGGCGCCCCAAGAGTACATTCATTCTTGAACGTGTCTGAACTTCTACCAAGAGGGAAGCATTAGGGGCAGAGATTGGTGCTGTAGGACTGGTTCATGGGGTGGTTCTGGCTGCCCCTGGCAGTTCTCAAACCAAGGCACAGCAGCCATCAAAGAGCTCTCTCAGGTCAGGAATGATCTCCAGGAGAAGGGAGAAGGTGAGCTGACAGCACAAAGACACAGAGCGATGAGGGGGGCGAAGCAATCAGGTCAGCACTCTCTCCTTGACTCTTTAGTAGGTGAACCGAAGTTTGGGGCAGATTTCCAAGGAAAACCTGGGATCCTGGGATCCAGCACACGTGAAAGAAGTCCTACAGCTCCCATGGGAGTGTGGCAGTTGATTAAAGAGCACCCCGGGTCTTCTGAGGGACTGCTCTCTCCAAATGAACATTGAAAGTACAAAGCTTCCTTTCTCGTGATTGGTCATGTTTTCAAGTCTGGTCACTATACGTAAAAACTTAAGAGGTCTCAGTAAACTAAGAATAAAAGGGGAACTGCCTCAACTTGATAAAGACTATCTATACCTAACATCATACTTAATGGTGAGAAACTTGAACTTTTCACACAAAGACCAGATACAAGGTGAGAATGTTCCCTCCTATCACAACTTTTCAATATTGTACCAGAAGTCCCTGCTAATGCAATAAGGTGAAAAAAGGAAAAAAAGGTATACATATTAAGGAGGAAGCAATGAAATAGTCTTTGTTTACAGAGTACATGGTCATCTCTGTAGTTCATTATGTCTAAAGAGTCGACAAAAATCTCCCGGAACTAAGTGATTATAGTAAGATTGCAATATACAAGGTTAATACACAAAAGTCAATCACTTCCTATTTACCAGCAATGAACAATGGAATTTGAAATCAAAAGCACAATTTACATTAGCATTCCCCCAAAATGAAATACTTAAATATGAATCTAATAAAACATATAGCTCTATGTGAGGAAAACTACAAAATTCTGATGAACAAAATCAAAGAATAACTGAATAAATGGGGTGATATTCCATGTTGTGGGATAGGAAGACTCAATTTTGTTAAGAAGTTAGTTCCCAACTTAATTAACTCAAACAGTCAGAATCCAATATTTAATAAGTACCAGCAAACTGATTCTAGAGTATATATGGGAAAGCAAATGACCCAGAGTAGCCGACACAATATTGAAGGAGAAGAACAAAGATGGAAGAATGACACTACCCAACTTCAAGAATTACTCTAAAGCTATAATAATCAAGAAATGTGGTACTGGTGAAAGAATAGATAAATAGATCAATGGAAGAGAATTGAGAGCCCAGAAACAGACCTGCATAAATAGTCAATAATCTTTGTTAAAGAAGCAAAGGCAATGCAATGGAGTAAAGATACTCTCTTCCAGAAATGGGGCTGGAACACAGGGACATCCACAGGCAGAAACTGAATCTGGACACAGACCTGACACCTTTCACAAAATGTAACACAGAATGGACCACAGATCTAAGTGTAAAATGCAAAACTATAAAACTCCTAAAAAATAACATAGGAAAAAACCTAAATGATGCCTTTTTAGGTACAACACCAAAGGCACAACTGTGAAAGAAATAATTGATAAGCTGACTTCATTAGATAAAAACTTCTGCTCTGTGAAAGACGTTGTCAAGAGAATGAGGAGACAAGCAGCAGACTGCGAAAAATATTTGCAAAAGACACAGCTGATGAAGGATTATTATTCAAAATACACAAAGAACTCTTAAAGTAGACAACAAGAAAACAAACAACCAGATTAAAAAATGGGTAGACCCCTCATCAATGAAGATATGCAGATGGCAAATAGGCATATGAAGAGATCCTCCACATCGTCGTCGTCAGGGAAATGCAAATTAAAACAACAGCGAGGGGCGCCTCAGGGGTGGCTCAGTGGGTTAAGCGTCTGCCTTTGGCTCAGGTCATGATCCCAGGGTCCTGGGATGGAGCCCCACATCTGGCTCCCTGCTCAGTGGGGAGCCTGCTCCTCCCTTCCTCCCTATCTGTGCTCTTTCTTTATATCTCTGTCTCTTTCTCTCAGATAAATAAATAAATCTTAAAAAACAAACAAACAAACAAACCCAACAGTGAGATACCACTATACATCTATTAGAATGGCCAAAATGACACCAAGTGTTGGTGAAGATGTGAAGCAACATGAACTCACTTACTGCTGGTGGAAATGTAAAATGCCACTTTGGAAGATGGGTTGGTGGTTTGTAACAAAACTGAACATACTCTTTCCATATGATCCAGCAATCACACTCCTTGGTATTTAAACAAAGGAATTGAAAAAGACTTCTGTCCATACATAAACCTGCACACAGATGTTTATATAGCATCTTCATTCATAGTTGCCACAACTTGGAAGCAACCAAAATGTCCTTTAGTAGGTGAACTGGATCAATAAACTGTGGTATATCCAGACAATGGAATATTATTCAGGGCTACAAAGAAATGAGCCAGCAAGCATGAGAAGACGTGGAAAAACTTAAATGAATATTACCAATCTGAAAAGACAACACACTGTGTTATGCCATCTCTATGAAATTCTGGAAAAGGCAAAATTATGAAGACAGTAAAAGGATCAGTGGTTGGGGACAGTTGGGGTGAGGGCTGAATAGGTTGAACACAGGATTTTCAGGGCAGTGAAAATCATCTGTATGATATTATAATGATGGATATATGTCACTACACATTTGTCCAAACTCAGGATGTACAACACCAAGAGTGAATCATAATGTGAACTGTGGACTCTGGGTGATAATGATGTGTCGATATAGGTTCATCGATTGTAACAAATGTACCTTTCTGATGATTGATGTTGATAATGCAGGAGGTTATAGGTTTGGGGCAGGGGGTATAGGGAAAACTTCTATACCTTTTTCTCAGTTTTGCTGGGTACCTAAAACCTGCTCTAAAAAAGTAGTCTTTAAAAAAAAAAACAACTTTCCTGGCCAAATGGAATAAGCTAATTAAAAAAAAAAAAAACAAAACCCTAACAGATCTCTCCATCTCCTGTCCTGCCCTCCTCCAATCAACTTGCCACACCAATGAACTGTAGGTCTGATCCGGACCCTCCCAGCCTAAAAGCCTTCAGTGCCTTCATGTTGCTCAGAGTGGAGGTCTCTAGACATTTCTGAGCATGCACCCCTGATTTATGCATTTGTTCATAAATTATACACAGGTAGTGTTGTACTGATATATTATATAGGATATAAATATGCACAAATACACTTAAAAAGGATGAAATAAGATTAATAATAATAGATAGTTTACTGTTTTCTTCCCACACCCCTAGTAGACTGTTTTGTTCACAGCACTTGGGCCCCTATGGCCTAGAACCCTGCTACTCAGACTATGTTCCTCGTCTACACATCACCTAGGAGCATGTTAAAATGCAAATTCAGATTCAGTAGGTCTGGGGTGGGGCTTGAGCTTCTGCAGTTTTAACAAGCTCTCAGGCAACGCTGTTGTCATGGGTCCAGGAAACAAGCATGTAGCAAGAACCTAGAGCTTACAGTGCAGACTCATTGGACTGTCATTAGAGATACTATCAG